ATGAAAAGTCCTGTCCATCATAGATAGCAAATCATAATTAATTATAAACAGTGGCTGGACAGTGGTGCTGCAATAAAACACAGTGCTCATTGAGGCCGACCCACTTGGTCGGGTTCTGTGAGTTGACTCGCGGAGAACTCTCTAAGTATGTCAGGCATGTGTGTACCCGTAATATTCCAGGCCTGGTTAAGGATGGGGGTATAGCGTGGCATAAAAAGCCTGTTCCTCTCTGTCTGTCACTCATCCATGGAAAATAATAACTAATAATGAATGACTCATTTCTTATCTCACATGATAAAATCATTGATTATTTTCTCTTTAGCATGTTGTACTGTTTTAAATGAAACTATGTATTTATCACTCTGGACCTTATTTTTGAATAAATTAATTTTTCCTAAAGGTCTTAAAATGTTAAACTATTAATTATCATGTCATATGGAAAACAGACTTTTTTTAAAAAAAAAGTTTGTTCCATTAGTGAGACAGAGAGAGAAAGGGAAACAGGCAGGCAGAGACAGAGGCAGAAAGATACAGCATCCCTTACTTGGTTCCAATGTCAGGTTTACCCTTAGCCTCAGCCAGCCTGGACCATAGGCCCAGGAGTGCCTGGCACACACAGGGAGCTCTCTGGATTTGAACTGGCAACCCTTCTATATGAGCCTACCTCACAGAGCATTGCTGTTTCCCACTGTGCCAGTGTCTGGCCCTCTGAGTTTTCTTGCGGTCTTAAAATTAGAAAGACCACCTAGTTAAAGCAATTTGTCGATTTCTTTTAATGTGTTACAGTAAACTATCAGGAATTTTAATCTCACTAGTGAATTTCTTATAACATCTGAACCAAACTCTTAGTTTATTTTTAGAAGAAGTTTACTTATTTCTCTCATGAGAAAGAAACAGACAGACAGACGTCCCAGTGGAGTCTTCAAGTTGTGATCTGTACTCTGTCATCTAGCCCAAATTTTATGGGCACACATGAGTGTACCCACATGTAGAGGCAGTCCATAGGTTTGAACCCAACATTTCTCCATATTTCAGTAATATATGATATCTCCTTCAAAAACATGAAAATATTTTCAGATAAGTTGATATATTACCTAAATCCATTCACTTATCCATAAGAAACCGTTATTATCAGCTTAGTGAATATCCTCCAAATACACATACACAATGTATAGTGATTTTTATGTGTATATGTTTTATATAAATAGTAATCATACTATATATTGTTGATCATCTTTCAAGAAAGTTTTTTGAAGATTTCCCAGTTAACTCCTCTGATTAAAAATAGTTCTATAGTACCATTTCTATCTCAGGCAAAACTGTAAAGGAGATAAAATTTTTTGGTGGACTCTATTCTGCTCATTATCTCCCTCATTCATCTTAATTTACCAAACCCTCCTCTCTTCCATACACACTTAGTGCCTCCTCTCTCCATCCTCACCCTGTTACTTTAACTCTGAGAAAAATATCCCTGTACTTCACTTTGAACTTAAAAATGTATTTTTTAAAACAATTGTAGATTCCTGGTTGGCACCAAGTACAAAATAAAAGGTATAGTTCCAGTTAGAAGAACATCTGGTACCAGTAAGACAGTGTGGGAAATATTTTAGGGAACATGGAGTCTTCTATGTCCATAGGTCTTACCGACTACATTCCTGCAAAAAAAATGCTTATTCTGTGGGGCCATAAAGCTAGGTCTGTCAAAGAATATTTTGAAAGGAAAATACGCATATGTTGAATAGTCCCTATATTTGATTACAGAACTAGTTGTCAGAGTTCCGATTTATAATCTGAATTTGTGGGTACCTCTGCCTAGCTAGGAGTAAGAGAATTAAGTGTAAGATTATTATGCAATTGAACCAGCAGATGGCAAAATGGTTATGTCGCTGGACTCCCACATAATTGATCGTGGTTCGGGTCCCGGACCTGGTGGCTTCAAACTCATGCTTGGAGTGTGTACGTGCCTGCTCAAGATCCTGAGAGGAGGGAACCAGCAGTTAGCGTAATGGCTATGTCGCTGGACTCCCATGTAGTCGACCGTGGTTCGTGTCCCGGACCCGGTGGCTTAAAACTCACGCCGGGCGCGTGTGCGTGTGTGCCCAAGATCCCGAGAGGAGAATGGAGGAGAAGGGATTGCGGCGTGACCATCCCCCCTGGTGGGTGATTTCTCGCTTTCTGTCTCTATGTCTCTCTCTGTCTGTCTGGCGAGCGCACGTGCCCTACAGTGAAAATCTCTCTCAAAAAAAAAAAAAAAAAAAGATCCTGAGAGGAGAATGGAGAAGGGATTGTGGTGTGGCCATCCTCCTGGGGGGGGGGAGTGGTTTCTCATATTCTGTCTCTGTCTCTTGCTTTCTGTCTCTCTGTCTCTCTCTGTCTCTCAAAGGAGCACATGTGCCCTATAACAAAAGTCTCTCTCTTAAAAAAATATTGTGCAGTAATTCAGATGAAAAAGAAACAGATGATTTGCTCTGAGAACATGTAAAAGCATGCACTACTAATCCTGTTATGTGGTAGTGATGCTTGTAACAAGCCCTAAAACTATCAGGATACCGCGCTATGGGGGAAGAGGCCACCGAACAATAGCATGATCACAGTCCCCAGAAAGAACTGATGGGTCCCTCACTGCAGGACTGGCTCCTCTGGGGTTGTTTTGGATCCTAAGCATTAAACATATATTGAGTGCTTGCTGTAAGTACTGTCATAGGTTTCAAATAAATCCTCTTGATGCTGCTTTCTACCTGAAAGAATACACACTACTTATTAACTACCAGGCATGATGCTAGCTATTTTATATACTTCATATTTAATAAACTTGTCAGGTTTAATAAGGTCAAGATTAGGATATCCATTTTATGGGTGAGGTTGTTGAAGTTCAAGGTTACTTAATTTAAAGTGGTTGTTTAATAATTCAAACAGAGACGGAGTTAACTATAACTTTTATCTTTTTCATTGTGCACTGCGGCTTCTTTTTGTGTCTCTTTGTTCAATCAGTATTACATAAGTTATTTTTACAACCAGTGTTGTATAATATTTTGGATTTTCTTTCTTGGTGTCATTTTTGGGGAAAGTTTAAAAAATAAGATATAGAATATTCATAATTAGGTATACTATGCAAATGTAATTTGCAATTATGGAAATTCTACAAGCCAAACGCGCATAAACCCTGCTGATAGAAATCTTTTCACTAAAAGCATCTGCTACCTAAAATAATGACCAGTAGCAAGAAGCCACTCAAGTAATCAGTTCTGTTTACAGACCAAGCTTATTTCTCCATTCTCAAATTCTTAAATTAATGAAAACCTTGACTTCTTTTGAGAGCTCGCATGCAGCATTCCTACGTATTAAACAATACTTTATCAAGGTTTTAGAAAAGGAATGAGACTGCTTGAAAATCACAAGTGTATGTGTACCCAAAATAACCCTGGAGAATGGAAAAGGGATTGCAGTATGGCCATCCCTCTTGGGGGTGATTTCTCACTTTCCCTCTTACTGTCTGTCTTCTCCTCACCCCCTCTGTGAGTACACATGCCCTATGGCAAAAATTAAAGAAAGAGAAGAAATTAGAATTTTCTTTCTATCCAGTTATCTAATAGTTCTTTTTATATAATGCACTCTTGTGGTTTGGCTTTTCAGCATCAGTTTGTTGTTGCAAAATTAATTGTTTCTATATCAGATTATTTTCCCGATAAGTAAGATACTTGCACAGATTGGAATTTGTGTATACATTTTTTTTATGACATTAGTGAAAACACTGAAGCCCTAAAAATGACCTGTTTATCTGTTTGCATTCTTTTTTGTTTTTGTTTTTTTGAAGAGATTTTTGTTACAGAGCACATATGCTCACCAGAGAGATAGAGAAAGACAGAAAGTGAGAAATCACCCCCGCCCCCAACCACGGAGCATGGCCATACCACAATCCCTTCTTCACCATCTCCTCTTGGGATTTTTGGGAATGCATGCACGTGTACCTGGTGTGAGTTTTAGTCTCCAGGTCCAGGATTCGAACCACAGTCAGCCATATGAGAGTCCAGTGATGTAACCATTACACCATCTTCTGGTCCCTGTATTTGTACTCTTAATGAATGTATTTACTTTATAATAATGTTTGAACTCCTTAAAGCAAAATTTATTGTTCGAAGATGAGAGTGATTTTTAGTCTTTTGTTTCTTGCCTCAACTCTAAGCATTTTGCTGTGAGAACATGCTATTTTGGGTCTAACAGTTCTTTAAGGTTATTAGATATATTTATGTTTAGCATACCAAATATTTAGGATATTTACTTGAAAATCAACTCTTTCTAAATCTGAGGTGAAGGATAATATTTAAGCATGTTCACAAGGTGGGATCCATATTATTTAATGTGATTTTGCATTATTTATATAGTGACTTTGGGGGATTATATGAGGGAACTTTAGAAAGTTCATTGGAATGGAATTGAAATATGAATTTATTTTGGTGCAAAAATTTTGTAATCTGTGTAGTTTTTTAAATTTTTTTTTTTTAATAGTATGAACTTTCAATGAACTTGTTGCAGACGCCCTTGTATTTTAGCATAGTGGAAGACACATACTGAGACTCCAAGCCCTTGTGCATGTGTTTGTTGTAATCACTGGACCTATCCCTCAGATATTTGAGAAATGGTACAAGAGTAGCTTTTAATATGCACCTGTGGCTGATGTTTCAGAAATATAGGCAATATCTTCTGTGTCTGAATTTCAAAGGATCTTCAAGATAGTGTTTTCAGCTCTCAGACTGGTGATGCAGAGTTTAGAATAAAATTCCATGAAGCCACTGGTAATAATCATTAAATTTATTATCACCCTTCGTGTCAGTCTTTTTACATTTTTCTATTGTCTACTCACTTGAATATTAGCTGATTTTCACTTATTTAATTTCCCTCCAAGAATGCTGTTTTATTTGTGAGCCATTTTCACAGTAATGTAAATTTCTTCCATGCCTGCAAATGTGAATTAACAATGATATTTTCATTTTGTTTTTTAGAGCATCAGGGCATCAGGACTCATCTTGTTGGAAACAATCCTTTGTGGGTCTCTGCTGCTGTACTTCCCAGTAAGTAACATATTTTTAAAGTAGCCATTTATTTTATTTTGTTTTGGCAGTATTTGATATCTTTAATATTCATATTATACAGTAAAGCTCTTATTTATGCATACACACACACATACACAGATGCACACATGACGAAGGGATTTTTCAGATGTTTAAATCCTGGCTCTTACCATTTGGGGGACTTTAGACAAATTGCTTAATATTTCTAAACCTTAGTTTCCTCTTGTAAAATAGACCTGATTATTCCTTTCTTCCCACTTTGTGAGGACAGTTACATGCTTAAATAAGATAACATGAAAGGTATACTTGGTATGTATGCTTTTATACGCAAATATTAACTTCCTTCTTCCTCACTCTCCACCCGAATCAGAACCATGAGACATACTGTTAATTAATATGTGATATGTGTAGTAATACTGCCTTAGATAATCATAGTAGTCTCTTCCTATCACATGAGTAGCATGCCTGTAACCAGAAGGTTAAGTACTGATTTGGCTAATTCAATTTAGCCAACTTGTATCCCACAGGTATTGTGCACCAAGCTCTGTGCTCATTCCTGGGAATGCTCTATTAGCCAGATAAACTTTATTTCTCCTCTTCAGAAGCTTACAGTTTGGAAGAGAGATGAGTTACAAACAATTGTAATACAATGTGACAAATGCTGAGAGACCTCTGAGGACAGAGTGATGTGGAGGCACATAGGCTATACAGTCGGTGAAACACTCATCGAAGCCTAAGGAAGAAGTTACCGGACAGAGATCGAGAGAAGAGTAGGTGTAAGATTAAGGAAAGGGAAGATCACCAGGATGACATATTCTTTTTTTCTATAGCTCCCTAGCTGCTGTATTTCTTCCTTCTTTGTTGATTTCTTATCTTTCTCCCACCTCCTTATACTTGAGTACCTCAGGCCTCAGAACTTGTGAAGTTTTTCATAATCCACATGCTCCCTTGGTGATCCCATCTTACCTCAGTTTTAAATACTAATATGCCAATGAGTAGTGAATCTGTATCTCCATCCCACTCCAAACTCATATTCAATTGCTCAATTGACAACTTCATTTGAAGGTCCAAAAGAATTCTCTATTATGTTCTTAAAAAAAAAAAAGTTTATTTCTTTTACAAGAATAACAGTGAGTGAAAGAGAGAGACGGACACTTAAAGCAGGGTCTTCATGCCATATTTCCCTCCCCTACTGTTCTTACTCATGTTCAGGATCACGAGTAGGTATGCACATGCATGCCTGGAGTGTTTTAGGTCAATGCAGAATCCAAACCCCTGTCAGTCATGTGGTTCCAACATTGTAGAGAAGCATGTTACATATGCACCACTTCAGCTGGACCCCTGTAATGTTCGTTTGTTCTTTCTTTCTTTTTCTTTCTTCTTTTTTATTTATTTTATTTATTTATTTTTTGTGTGAGAAAGTAAGTCACCAGTTCCAGGACTCTACTTGCAGTTGGCCATGCGGGAGTCCAGTGCTTTTAGCCACCGCACCACTTGCTAGCCCCGTGTCATGTTCTTAACTGAAATACTGATGTATTTCTTAAATTCAGTCTCTCCATCTCCATTGAGAGCAGCTCTATTTCTCTAGTTACTCAGGCTAAAAACCTGGGAGTTAATCTTGACACCTCTCTTTCTGCCCACCCTCATCTGATACTATTCTTTTCACTCTCTACCGGTAGTTACTATGACCCTTCAGTTCTCAAGTAAAACATGATCTCTCTCATGGTAATTCTTACATGGAAAAAGAAATTTCATAGATATGATTATGTTAAAGACTTAACAGTGAGTATACCCCATATTGTATGGGTGGGCCCAAGGATTCTAAATGAAAGAAGGAAGCAAAAGAGAAAGAACCTGAGAGATGGCATAAAGAAACTTGCATTGACTATTTCTAACTGAAGGTGGATGAAGGAGGTCGAAGCTAAGGATTAGGGGTAGTGTCTGGAAGCTGGAAAAGGCAA